ATTTTTAATTTACTTTTATTTTATGTGTTAACATTTAAATTTTGTCTTTATTCTTTTTTTTGAATAACTTGTCCATTAAAATTAGAAAAGTTATCTTGTTGTGACATTTTAATGAAAAATTAATTAGTAATACATAGCATGCATGCTATACAGTACACATAGAGTAGCAGCATACCTATACTTTTCACTCTTTTCTTTAAAATTCAAAATATAGCATAAAAAAGGCAATGTAAACCCCACACGATACTCTGATGGTGCGTCTCTTTCCATAATACAACAGCCATTAACCTGTCTCGTATGCGAACCCCATGCGACCCCCTATCTTACTTGAAAAATTCAAATTAAAAAAAAAAGGGTATTTATCACCATACAACTTCATCACTTTCACTTCATGAATCCCTCCTCTCCCAAATAACCACAAAGTCATTTATCACCCAAATATACTAATCCTACACTACAAATAAAACCATCTCCTCCATTTTTTTTCTCACAAACCAATCTCTCAACACTTCAATCTTTATGTATACTAAATTCCACACATAAACAAAAAAACATACCATAAAACCAAGACACTGCAAGTTATTCTTCACAAAAAAACAAACAAAACTTTCCCTTCACACTCTCGTTTTTCCGCCTGACGTGAGCTCATCGGCAACGACAACTCTCAACAACTTTTGCACCTCGCCAAAAATCACTTTCCAACAACACTCGGCCACCACTGGCCGACACGCAAAACCATTACCATTCAAGTTGCCGACGTCGATGCAACGTGAGGAGGAAAAATACGTTATACCGAGAAAGGAAGCCATTTGAGGGAGCCATCGCTGCATACAAACTCCGACAACCGCGTCGCACACCATCGGTAACGGTTTTGCTTCTGACTAAATTTGTATAGTTTGTTTATGTTTTATTATTTTTGTAAATTTGAACTTAGATTGATACATATGCATTGATGTTGGATAATTACTTTGTTTTGTTTAATATTAGTGTTAGATTTTATTTGTGATAGCTTGGTAAATATCATCTCATGTTTTGTTATATGTATTTTTTTTTCCTCTTCCTTAATTTGTCTTATCTTTTATGATTAACTGTGTTTAACGTTTAAGTATGTGCTTAGTAAAACGGAGAATTAGATTATATATAATATTATTCACTTTTAGTGTTTTAGAATGCAGTTCCTTAGTTTTAGAATTAATTATTTTAGTTTCTTTAGGATTTAGTTTTAGAATTTAGTTTCTTTGCTTTTCTTAGAATTAGTTATTAGTTTTAATTAAATTCTGAATTTATTTAAATTTTATTAGTTTTTTTTAGATTTTAACTTAATTAGTTTTTAGATTTTAACTTAATTAATTTTTAGTTAGAATTTAGTTTATTTAGTTTTTTAATTAGATGTTAGTTTAATTAATTAATTAGAATTTAATTTAATTAGTTTTTTAACTAAATTTTAATTTAATTAGTTAATTAGTTTTTTTAATCAGTTAGTTTTAATTAATTAGTTTTTAATTAGATTTTAGTTTAATTGGTTAGTTTTTTTTTTTTTTATATTTTAACTTTATTAGTTTTTAGATTTTAACTTAATTAATTTTTAGTTAGAATTTAGTTTATTTAGTTTTTTAATTAGATTCTAGTTTAATTAGTTAATTATAATTTAATTTAATTAGTTTTTAACTAGATTTTAGTTTAATTAGTTAATTAGGTTTTTTTAGTTAGTTAGTTTTAGTTAATTAGTTTTTAATTAGATTTTAGTTTAATTGGTTAATTAGTTTTTTTTTTTTAGATTTTGATTTAGTTAGCATGTGGTTTAATTAGATTTTATTTTTAGTTAATTCTTAAACTAATCTTGACAATCCCCGTCTTCATTTTAGTTAATTCTTGATGTTCAATTTTTAGTTAATTCTTGATACATTTGGCTGTGATTAAGCCCTGATTTTTTTATGCCTATTTTGTTTGATATTCTCTTATAGCTTTTGGATCTATTATGATTTTCCAGTTTATTTCATTCCAAAGGAAAGGATTTCCCTTGTTGACTGTCATGTCATACTTAGTCTAACCTTATGTCCTTACCCTTCATCATAACCCTAGGATTAGAGTCGCCGTACTCTATATGAGTGCCCTGCCATGAACATTTCCTTTCCCGTTTAACCTAGCCTTAGATTTAGAGTCGTCGCACTCTATGTAGGTGTCTCACCGTAGACATTTACCTTCCCCCTAGAACCTTGACCATAATCAAGACTTCCTCACCCCTTTAAAGGGGAACTACGTTTGCTCTGATTTTATTCTCGTCAGGATACGTAGGCACGAGATGCGATGTCTTGGCGAACATACTTTATACATACTTTATATATACTTCATATCTTTACCTTAGCATAATCCCTTTAGCAAGCAACTTTAGCATAACAATAATACTAACAAGAGGTTCATGTAAAGTACTACAGATACTTAGGATGCTAACACCTTTCCTAGGTATAACCAACCCCCAAACCTTAGATCTTTTAGTTGTGTTGTTACGTAGTGCACTTAGGATTTTCTTCGATCTTTACCCTTTCCTTTGGATAAATCAAAGTTCAGTGGTGAACTTCATTGATTTGTGATTCAAGTTAAACCAATAGCTCGATATCCGATTCTCACCGCAACAATGATGCATATGAGATAGAAGCAGGTGAAAAACCTTGGGGGTAAATTTTAGGGTATGACAGGGAGTCAAAATCAGAGCTTTGGTAAGGCTCTAATGGTGAACTTGGACTCTGGGCACAGTGACAATTGGTTACTAACAGTTGTTAACCGGTTACCAGTGAGAAAATGGGTTTCTTGTCTGTTTTTCATGCCTGTAACTGGTTACACACATAGTGTAATAGGTTACCACTGTATGCAGAATTAAAATTGACGTAACTTGAGTTCCGTGATTCTGATTGAGGACCGATTTGAAGCGTTGGAAAGCTAGCGCATAGGACTACCTCATGGTATCATTCCAAGAGATTAAATATATACATGAGGATATGAATGTAATGTTTTTCATCTGGTATTTATGGGATGAGCGTTGTTGAGTTATATAATTGATTGTTATGCTGAGTTGTAATGAATTATGCCGTGTACAGCTTATATTTTGCTTTTGTTTATTTTTGTGAGTTAACTTTTAGGTGATGGACTTATTGGCCATGTACATAGTCTGAAGTGGGGCCGATTGTGGATTAATCATATTTTCATGTCCATGTTGAGTTCATGTATCATGGTGTACGGACTTCGGTTTGGGGGTGAACTCTAGTTCAAAAATAGGGAACGGGAGCGAGTAGATGATTTCACTAATGGGATCAGTGAATCATTATTAATTCAATAGTAGGGATTAGTGACGATTATGGTGGGCTTTAGCTCATAAGAGGGGACCGATAACGAGTGTGGACAAAGATTAGTAACATATCTCTGATTTCTGAATCGGTACCACATGCATGTAGAGTCGAGTAGTGGATATATTTGCATACATACCTGCATGTATGATTAAGTAATCAGTATAATTGTTTTCTTGTTGTAAATAAGTGTGTGATTGATGATTGAGATGAATATGTTATCCTTTTGCTATGTTTTTCACCATTAACATATTTAAGCGTATTCTAATCCCTGTTTGTTTGTTGTGGTGGTTTTACACCTATGTTTGCAAATACTCAGGTATGGACTGAGGAGCCTTAGATGCTATCCTGTGGAAGATGGCTTGTGCCTTCTTTGTTTATCCTTTCTTCACTTTGTTTAGTATTTGGTGTCACATTGACAGTGTAACACTAGGATGGGGTCATTATTTATTTTATTCCGCTTATTGTTGAGTTATTATTGAACTAAGTGTTTTGTTTCAATTAAAGAAATTTCTATTTTTGAGACCATGAAGAGATGTTATTAAATATTTTAAATTTCACTACGATATGTTAAATGATGAAAAATATTTATGCTGAGAATGTGTGACACCGTTTAGTGAAAAATATACTCTGATTATGTTATAAAATGTGATTAGGGGTCTTAGAGTGTTACAGTCGACACAAAATTATTGTGGTTGATTTTGTTAACAACAGTCATTGGGTTCATGTAAAGTTGAAACTCGATTGTTCATTGTTTCCCGTCACAGATCGACGAAGATATAACTGTAGTGAAGGTGAAAGAGCATGAGAAACAATATACGCGAGATGTATAAGGCATTAGAAAGAAGAAATTAAAAAGTCAGCATAATTTATTTTGTATTGATATTGTAGCACTTTTTACATTATATTTATATATTGTATCGAGTATATTTTGTTTAAAATGTCAACTATTTAAGAAATTTTCAAAATTCACCACTGCCTACCAGATTTTCATATTCGAAAAATTCAGTTTGTCTCGAATTTTTTAAAATATTCAATGTATTTTATAGACTACCAGATTTTTAAAAAAAATATATGATATATAAGCACTAAATATTTGAAAAAATTGATATTTCTTTATGCAATTACCAGAAAACAATGTTTTTTTATCAAAAACTTTTGATATTTTTTAAAAAAATCTCAAAATATCCGGTTTTTATTTTCAGTATTTGATATTTCTTTGTATAGACGAAAAAAAAAATCCATAAACATTTTTAAAAATCCCGTAAATTCCGGTACTTTTAAAGTTTCAAAGTTATTAAAAAATTGACATAAAGATGAAAGCATTGCTCATGTAAGGGTGGCAGGTTTAAGATAAATTCTCAAAATTTTCCATGATGACCTTATAAGAATATATAAGTTTGGGCCAAAGGCCCTTTTTGTGTTACACAAGCACAAGTAAAAAAATAGATATAAATTAATTATGTATATGATAATTGGCTAATATTATTAATTAATTATTATTCTTATAAATAATTGAATAATGGTTTGCACGTTAGGAACCAATAGTTATAGTAGTGCTCCTCCACGTTTGTTCCCAATTCTCTACTTATGTGTCATATATATATTTGCTCCTTTCAAGTCAATCTAGCCATATATCCTTGTGACTTGAAAAAAAACATGGCAAAAGCAATAACATTGATGTTCATTGCAATGCTAGTGTGTTGCACCAATAACACACTAGTCTCAGCTTGGAATGAAGCAGCAGAAGAAGTAATTCATGTGGGAGGAAAAGTGATGTGCCAGGATTGTAGCCAGGGCTGGAAAGAATGGGTCAAGGGTTATAAACCAATCAAAGGTATGTAACTTTATCATTTTCTTATCGTTCTGTCTCAGTTGATAGTTATGCAGAGACATTTATCTGATTGTAAATTTTTTATGATTGTTAAAACACTTACAGGAGCTAAGGTGTCGCTAACTTGTTGGGACAAGAGAAACCGGGCTGTGTATTATACAAGCGATACAACTGATGTGTTAGGATTATACGACATGAGCGTGGACAAGTTTGTTAATGGCAAAGAATTGTATGTAAAAGGATGCTATGTGAGGTTAGTGTCGTCTCCTGATGATGTTTGCAACATTCTCACTGATTTTGGTGGTGGAAAGTCTGGTTTCAAGCTCAGCAACCCAACGTTGGTTTATCGGAGTTTGACCAAATATGTGGCTGCTACTTTTTATTATACTACTCCCATGTGTGATATGCCTGAGACTGATAATTCGTATGGTTCTGAAGCTAAAGATTCTCAGGGACAAAGACAAGGAGGATATTAATGTTTTCTTGTTTGGCTTTAATGTTAATGTTAATGATTATGATTATGATTATTATCTTTTCGATTTATTAAATCTTTTTCAAGAGAAATTGTATCAACTTAAAATTTGACGAAAATCTCTGCATGTAGAATTCCTTTTTACAAATTGTTTTTTATGTTTTGTCGGTAATACGATATTTACCTTTTAAAACAAACAAGCACTTGGTAGAGTACTATAAATTGAAACTTCGTCATGAGTACAATACACAATAAGATTAATCAATTTAGTCATTGTATTTAACAACCTATTCATACATTAATTTATATTTTTATTCAAATTATATCAAATAAATTTCTACATATATCAACAACACTAGATTCATCAATTTAGTCTCTATATTTACCACTTAGTGTTAGTTATTTTACATTTAAGTAATTGTCAAATATGTTCTTGTGTTTTTCTAGTTTTATGTTAAATAAATAATTGAAAAATAAAATTAATAATATTGAAAAAGCAGAAAGAAGAAGATTGAGCAATGATAGAGAATATCAATGAAGAATGAGATGGTTGTGACATTTAACTTCTCATTTGTTAACACATTTAAATCATATAAACTAATGAGTATATTGAAGTGATAAATATTTGACACATTCATGGACTAATTTAAAATATTAATAAAATTAAATGACGAGAATAATTTACAAAGACATGAACCAATAAGACGGTTAATTTGAGAACCATTTAACAATTAACATGTCACATAATACTCTTAACATTTTTATTTTTTTTACGAAAAAGCTATTCATTAAAAGCCAAACACATGATACAAACTAAGAAAGGAATCACCATTGGAATAAAATTCCAACCAAGTTCTGGACCCAAGAGACATGCCTATCCCAACCAAGCGTGGGCATCTCTATTAAACTTCATATGAACAAATATAACAGACGCATTCACAAAATTCTTAAGTAATCCAGAACAATAAAAAATTAAAGGCTCTAACACAACAACAACAACAAAATTTTGATTAACACAATCCATCACTACAAGGGCATCCAATTGAACGATAACTCTCTTAAACTTCAGATATTGCACAATCTGCAGCCCCTACCTTAGCGCCATAACTTCACCAACACTAGGAACTACTATGATATGAACTCTTTTGCTTGTTGACAAGATACATTCTTAGCCACTCTGAAGGTGGCCATAGCAACTTGTGCTGACTAGGTGGCCATAGCAACTTGTTGGCAAGATAACATACACAATGTTATATACATTCTTAGCCACTCTGAAGGTGGCCATAGCAACTTGTGCTGACTAGGACAATAATACAAAGGTGAACTCAAACATTGATCCAAAGTTAAAAACACTCAACTCTCATTAAATGGCATTAAAACCACAAAAGAAATCATCCTAAGGGTTAAGGCTTCAACGTTAAGGGTGGGTTTGGTCTAGAAGAAGTGGAGAAGAGAGTATAAAAAGAGAAAGAGGATTTTTTTTTTTTCATCCTATGAACTTCGTACACACCATGTAACTTTTCTTATATGCCTCTAAATTTCGGAGATATATCTTCGGACGCACCAAAATTCAATTAAACATTAAAATATTACGGAGATATATCTCCGGACGCACCAAAACTTTAATGAACGTTGAAATATTCCGGAGATATATCTCTGAAACAATTTAGAGCATATTATCGCGTCAGACTCTTCTCCCTCACTTTTTCATTTTCATTCACAAACCTCTTCAACTCTCTCATTCTCAAATATCTCCAACTTCACCAAATTTGATTTCAGCATCCAGTACATTACTCAACATCTTTCAAATCATATAATTCAGGTAAGTTTTTCGAGTTTCCGATAAATATTCGAGTATTCTTGTAAACGAGTTAGAATACATTGTTAAGTGTAAAAATGTTTACAAATTGGCTAAAACATAGTTTAAAGTAAGTGCATATATTGTTTGTTCGCTCAAATGGACGATTAGGGCTTCAAATTTCTCATTCTAAAAGGCAGAGGACGCCATTATCACGACCTCTGAGTTTCAAAATATTTCAGAAATACACCTCCGGAACAATTCTAACGTTTCATGTATTCTAGGTGATTCTAGAGATACATCTGCTGAATATTTTCGTAGTTGTATCTCCAAAATCACTCAAAATACATGAAATTACACGGTAGATATATCTTTAAAATCTGAAGATATATGTGAAAAACCACATTGGAAAAGAAATGTATCCGGTGTAATAAAAAATTTCTAAAAGAAAAATTGAGAATAGAGTCAAGTTACCTTGATTGGCCCACAAAAATAAAAGAGAAATTAAAACAGGTGGGTCCCGCCATAAAATCATTATTTCCTAACAAGTTAGCGAAAAATTGAGTGAGGAAATGAAGAACCTTTTAAATTTCTTTTATATCCTCAATCAACATGTTTTACATTTCTTAGTTTTGTAACTTACAGTGCAAGTACTTCAAATTTTTCCAGCGTCACTTTGTTGGGACTTGGGAAGCTTTGGGCATAAAGAGTATTTAAGGATTTTGGTATTGAGAAACATATAAGAATGTTTAAAAATTGAGGAAATGTAATGTATTGACACTGGGATATGCACACCATTATCCAGATGTCCATAATTGACATCGGCAAAGATCAATGGTCCTCTAAAATCTGAGAACGTGACACTACTCGAGTTTTAATTAACGAAAAAGAAGTACAATTATGTTATTTAAACATCTAATTTGAAACATTGCATGTGATACAGGATATCTCTATTTCTCACATACTTTCGTTTCATCCACGGTACACAGATTACAAAAACAAACGAACACTATTTGATGTCTCTTTTTAATGCTCTAACATTATTTCCGAAATAAGTAAATAATTTTATGTATATTTTACAAAACAAAAGCAAATCCATAAAAGATGATGATACCATCATACAGTTGAAGCTAGTGAAGTTACAAAAAAACCTAAAAGAATGTACTGATAAGGCCGTACCTCTTTGAAAGATGTCGTAACATAAATACTCTGTATTGAAACCAGACTTATGAATACAAGTCACTACAGAGAACAATCTCAATTTTCAAGCTATACATATAAACGTTTCTCATTCATCAAAGCTCTATCCACACAAGTACTACTTATATAATTGGTTTAATTCATTATTTTCATACTTCATATGTCAAGGCTCATATATTTGATGTTTTAGCAGCAAGATGTATAAGAGTTCTCTTGTGGTAGGTGGTGCGTAGCTTCTTGTATTTCTGCAAAAAAGCTGCAAGGTCAATTTCTTTGTCAAGGAGTTGCTGGTGCAGGTTTTCAGACTCCTCATCTGTCTGGTTCACAGACTCTGCAAAATTACAAGTTAGTCATATGTATGACTTAGCTGTCGTCACAATAGTGAAGTATTGTTACCACCATAATTATTGAAGCAAACTACAAGATAAAGTCATACCTTGAATCCTTTGGAGAAGGGATGCAGGAGAATTCAACTTTAGCATTTCTTCTTTCTGCTTCTCAAGCTCATTTAGTTTCTCACTGGCAGTAGCTAACTCAGTTGTTCTAATAATTCTACACTGTTTCCATATGAGGACAGAGAAAAAATTCAAAATTAGCATAAGATTTTGGATATTAAGTATCAACTCACACAGCTAGTGATCTCCTGCATTCACGCTATCTGTCAGCAGGTTGGCACCATCCAATCTTGATTAACGGATTTTGAGCGAACTATTTAAATATTTGAAACCCGGCAACATGCTGACAAGGTGAATGCAGATGATCGTGGTCTTACCTGATTCCTAAGTTCCATGATACGAGGTTCCTTTTGTAGATTTTCCTCTGCATTGGGGACAAAAGATTGAGAAGTTCAACAACACTTAACTGATGGCAAACCATTTAATACCAGAACTGCAAATAAATGAAATTCAATCACTCACCTGCAAGCTGCAAATTCTCCTTGCTAAGCTCATCTTTCAGCTGACCATAACAATAGACCATAAAATAGTTAAAATACAAGATACAGCTTCCACCATATCAACAAAGTAAAAACACTGCTGAAAAAGTTGGAGCATAGGAATAATACAACAGTAACAATATTGACAGCACACTAGAATGAGAACAATAGTGCAGTTGAGCAGAGTCAGTTACTTGTAACAGTTTGAGTAGTGTGATAAATTGCATTCCAATTGTCGGCTGATAAACCTGATACTGCCATTCTAGAATGCTACTATTGACTCTTTCAGTGCTGCAACTATTTGTTAGGAACCAAGTTTGTTATCTTAGTCAGATAAATGGATATAAAAGGAGAAATGAGGAGTTAGTAAAGGTCAGCTGAGAAATGATAAAATGAAAGAGCAGATTCCGCATGTCTTTGTATTTTCATCTCTGTTATTGTATTTCATTGACACAGATTCAGTGTTACAAATTTCCTAGCAAAACACATAATTCTTCTTTCTATATTCTGAGCTAGTTCTTTCACTGCAACAATAACAACAACCAAAGCCGTTTCCAACACTGTGGGATTGGGTACATGGAACAAATGACCCTTGATGTACTGTCCTGAGTCATAATATCGCTTAATGATTTAACTTATAGTTTTCCTTCGTCACCTTTGAAGGTCTTTTACATCTAAATAGGGAATATCCTCCATTCTACAACTCCTTGTCAGTGCTTCTATGGGCCAGCTACACACATGTCCCGGCCACCGAAGACAACATTCTACCATCTGTTTTTACAATAGGAGCTACTTCTATTGTTTCTCTAGTGATAAATTTTCTAATCTTATCTTATTCTGTATGATCCCAATCCATGGTAACATTCTCATCTCAACAGCTCTAATCTTTAATTTCTTGTCACCTTTTACAAGTCCAACATTCAATTTCATTCAACATTACAGCTTTTATCAGTAGAACTTTCCTTCAAGCTTCAGTGATACTTTTCTATTTCAAATAACTGAAGAATTCCTTCATTTCATCCGTCTGGTTTGGACCCTATAATTGACAGCCCCCTCTATTAGCATCAATTTGCATGATGGACTTGACGCACTTAAAATGTTAAACTTGTGGTATTGTGCATTCTTCGACTTTCACCTCTAAGCTAGTATTAGTGTTCTCTTACTAAACTTATAAGTTCTCCAACTTATAAGTCTTGTTACTATTCTCCAAATTTCTAATTTTAATTATTATTTTCAAGAATCTCAATTCTCCGATTAAAAGTATATCATTTGTTTAAAAAAGATGCATCATGGAACCGTCTCTTGTATATGTTAGATAAACACATCTAAAACAAAGACAAACAGGCAAGGGTTCAAAACTGACCCTTGGTGCACGCCTATAGTAATAGGAAAACCTGTATTTCCGCCTTGAGCTCTTGCATTAGTCGTAGCCCTTAATACATATTTTTTATTGTTTGAAAATAAACAAATCAACTTCTTTATTTTATGGAGCCTTCCACAACACTGTTCTAGGTATTTCATACGTATTTTCTCAGCTTATAAAAAATTGTGTCATTCTTTTTTAATGCATTAATCTTATGAGAAAATATATAGCTACCCAGTCGATCTTTCCAGCATAAAACCAAATTCATTTTCTATTAAGTGGGTCTCTTGTCTAAATTTAAGTTTCATCTCACCTAAAACTTCACAGTTTGACTTACTTTATGAGTTTAATCCCCTTACAATTCGTGTAGTTTTGTAAGATAATAAACATCAGTCTCCATTATAGGCACAGCAGCCTACAGGTTGGGATTTTAATTAAAAGAATTTTACAAATGTTTTTGGTATGATTCATAACAACCATTTTCCTCTTCCTCTCCTCCGAAATCATTAGAAGTACGTGTCTGTTGTCACTTTTAGTTTTAGATATTAAGGGTGACTCGTGATAAAAAAAGGATTACCAAACAGGAAGTTAAAACATTTGGTTCACATCACAATAACATCTTAAGATGGTATAAGTTGTAGCTAAGTATTACCAAATATAAGCCTTGACACACTCCCCAATACATACATACTTTATAAAGACGACAGAATCTGATGCTTCTTATCTATGAACTTTACAAACAATTAGCAAGTCGACCAACAACCTTCATATACATGTATTATTCAACAATTCCATCTCTAATGCAGAAAATCTCAAGAAGTATACAGTAGTATACCACACATACATTCAATACAATATTTAGCGGCTAACAATCTCTGAAGTATGCATTGCAGAAGCAGCGCAATAAAATCATAATTAAAATTTCTTTTTTTAATACTAACTACTAGCTAATGATAATATATTGTTGGCAATCATCTAAATAGGGCCATTTTCTTAGGCTGGACATAGACACCGTCGGGGCCTATCGCCTACTACTAGCTAGCTACCCTTAGACCTCAGCACAACAACAAAAATATAATACTCCCTCCGTTTCAAAATTAGTGTTGTTTAAGGTTTTTGTATACAGATTAAGGAATGTAATAATGTTGTCATAAGACACTATGTTTTTACTAAATTAACCTTATTAATTAGTTGGAAGTAGTGTACCCTGTAATAGTTAAAGGGCACAATTGGTAAAATAGCAATTATTTTTACATTGAAAAGTGATAATGACATTCATTTTGAAATAAATTTCATTTGCTAAAACAACACTCATTTTGAAACCGAGTAATTTCTAAGATGATAAACCACCATAAACGGGATAGTCAAGATAATGAACTTACATTGTTTTGAATCTTGACCTGGTCAAGTGACTGTAGAAACTGTTGATAAGCATCTTTGTCAGATAAAAGCTTTCTCAACTCATCAACACTGGAAATTTTACAAAGCAAAATAAACATAACATTAAGATAATAATATCTTAACAATTAAGAAAACAGAATAATCAATGTGTAACTGCTATTAGACCTTTTGTCCTTCAAAGATGCAATTGTTCCTGCGGCTTCTGCCGGTGGAACATGCGAAGAAGGCCTTGGCGAACTGGAAGAGGAAGCAGGTGTAGCAGGCCTTGAAGAACTCGATGAGCTCATCACAGACGGTGGATACCACGACTGTGATGAACCACCCTGCGATTGTTGATCTTGTGATCCCCTGTGAATAAACAACAACAGCAACAACATCAACATCAACGATTCTTCCCTAAATTTCATGTTTTTCTGTTGATTACTGTCAAATCTTAGCAAAAAATCATAAATTTAAGCGTATTGTTATTCAATTGAAAGTCTTTTGGGATCGAACCTGCGGTAAAGAGCAAAATTTTCGAAATTGGAAAAATCAAAAGGTTAAAGAGATGTATAATTTATGAAATATGATTGAAGTTTTGGAATTGAGACGGAGAATTACCAGAATTTAAACATCGCTAACGGTTAATAGGTTCCGAATTGTTGATTCACCGAGTCAAGAAGCAACGCAACCCTGTAAATTTCCGAGAACAAAGCGAGAGCGAACTTGGAAATGAAAGACAAAACTGCTTGTGTTTGCTTATTTGACGCTAGGTTTCTTTTTTCTGGAAAGGTTTTTCTTTTAAATAAGAAATTATAGGTTTAGTTTGCTTTTATTATTTATTTTTGGTTACAAATGATAGTTTTTTTTTAAGAAAAATAAAATTTATTACTCGTTGAAAACATCCAAGAAAGCTTGGCTAACACTTGGTTGTTTTTTTAAGACAATAATAATGGCTTTCTTAAAGAATTCTAGGGTTTTTTTAATTCGGGTCATTTGGAATTTAACGTATATTATGTCTTTGCTATTTTGTTTTTGAAGCGTCTCCTTGCTAACCTTATTAGTAATATATTTGATCTGACCTGATCAGAAGGGGATCACGGGCTGACCACATGCTGTTGGACTGCTACCTGTTCACCGGTGATGAGGAGGAGAAAGGGGGGTGTACCTGTAAGATACTCCGATGTCAAAGTAAGGAATTGGACAGAGAGAGAGCAAAGTACAGAAAGGGCAAGATGTGAATTACCTGACCCTCTTGTGAAAGAGGGTATTTATAGAGACCCCAACGCTGGGCCAACGGTCACTTGTGTTGGGCTGGATTGTCAGGCCCAACCCAGGTGACTGCTAGGGCTTACGTGGCGTAGTGAAGACCAGGACGTGGTCTTCGCCCTAGTCCAACTGTTCCGTGATCTCCGGAAAGTGAGTTTGACCTGCTCTTTCGGAGGTGGGCAGTTGGTTGGTGACGTGTCCCTGCGGAGGGGAGCACGTGGAGAACGTGTGAAGGACACGTTATGCTGCCCGACAAGGTGTGGGTTCCGCCCGCGGGGGACAGGTCTTGCTCGATGGCATGGGAATACCGCCCATGGAGGACGGCGCTTGGTCGTGCGGGCGATTCTCTCGCCTGGCGTGGTAGGGACGGTTCTCCCCCGCGGGGAGATCATTCTAGCAAGTCGGGGATCTTGTGCCCAACGCAGTAGCTCGGACCGGGCAGGGCCTGGTGGAACATTATTGGGCTGGGCCAGCATAGTTCATCCCGGGGCCCAGTCTAGAACAATATTTGTAGTCATATATGACATGAACCATCTTCAGACCAAGGAAATGAGCTACCACAAGCGAATTGATGATGGCTTGAGCTTCAACTATCATAGGAAATTGTAACCTCTTTGATCCCAAGTGAGTTATGTGATCATATTCTGCTTTTTATCCTTGACGATGGCGCCTAGATTCCAAGATGTGTTGATGGCTAGGTTCGCGTCTGTGTTAATAGTATAAGTCTCATTGTGAAAGGTGTTACCATCATTGTTATTCAGATCCGGGTGGTTTAGAGAGATAGTTTGAAGGTAACCATCTTTGTTGAGTTAAATATCTTTAATATTTAGTGGTGTGTGCTTTAAAATTTTTTGATTCGTCCTTTTTTCACATGCATGCTACCTTCGATGGTGTTATCGTTGTCCATTCCGTCTTTGGTGTTATCGATATTCTTGCCATTATTTTTTAGGACTAGTTTTGTAATCTCTTTGTTGAGTTGTTAGACATCTTTGTATCCGTTGCAAAGGTTCATGGGATGCTCATCAAGTTGATGCAGGACGTTGGAGGTGAGGCAATGAAATCTTCTTCTTTTATTTATGTTATTTTGATAGAGTTATATCTCATTATGGTTGTTAACTTTCTGTATGTTATCCTTTATAAGGTTTTGCCCAATGGTGGAGTCATTTAAGCAATGGGAGTCTTTGTACTCGTCATCAATCCCAAGTCCATGATCATTTTTAGTGTAGTGGATGTTCTTCCCTTAATTCTTACTATTTATCGTATAGGCAGATGTAGACTTGGACTCAATGTTACAGTTAGGATTGTTGTTGTTGCCATCTATAGTGTAAGTGCTTCTAACAATTTTTCTTTTTTATGAATATGTTCTCTGTTGTGTTGATTGATGTTGTTATTTAACCACTTATTGTTGTTGTTACTGCCAAATTGATATGCTTGGTTTTAGATCCATCTCCTTTCAACAAAGAAAATATCGGAGATAGTCGGGGCCTTCTTGGCTATAGCCAAACCATTGGTGGACCCCTTTGTTTTGGTTATTAAGAAGAAGTTTTGAGAGAACTTCAGCATACTATGAAAAGGTAAGGGAGCAAAGGGTCCCCTTGCCTAATACCACTAGAGGGTCTGAACCACTTAAAGTTTTTATCATTTATAGTTAGAGAAAGAAATAAATATGATACAATTCATAATAGAGGTTGTGATGTTACTAGGGAAGCCCATATATATCAGATTCATATCAACAAAATCTCATTTGATTCTATCATAGATCTTGGCCATGTCAGGGAGCAAAGAGTCCCCTTGCCTAATACCACTAGAAGGTCTGAACCACTTAAAGTTTTTATCATTTATAGTTAGAGAAAGAAATAAATATGATACAATTCATAATAGAGGTTGCGATGTTACTAGGGAAGCCCATATATATCAGATTCATATCAACAAAATCTCATTTGATTCTATCATATATTTCCACACTATTTGCCCAGTATTTTGCAGGTATTCAAAGTCTGTGCTCAAATGGAGCAAGATAAAGAAAAGAAGCATTTACAGGTGAAAACCAAGTGAAAATCAGGCCAAAAAGTAGCAGAAACGAGTTCTGCTGATGTGACGACTGTCACAAGGGTGTGACGACCGTCATGCGTTTTAAGAGGTGTGCCTACATTTTCCTCCATGTTTTAAGAGAATAAAAAGAAATACTCGTAAGAATTATGAATAGACAACACACCACAAAATTATAAATCGATGATTATATTATAACGAATATTGGACTAATAATCTTTAATATATTTTATGAAATTCAAGTCAAGTAAAATTGTAATTCGAGTCAAAATATTTCATAATTCAAATCATGTGAGGGGTTAAATTGAATCACACTTTAAGCACTAAAATTCAAATTCTGAGATTTACTCATGATTTGAGTCAAGATTTTCTATGACTTGAGTCACATTTTCAATACTAAAACTCTAAAAAAGGTGAAATTCCATGATTTGAGCTAAGAAAAACCCTGATTTGAATCATGATTGCAAAAGTTTTTTGATTCAAGTCGTAAACTTTTCTGACTTAAACCATTTTACATTGACTTTTAGTCAAAATTTTGATTTATGCATGCAAAGTACATTTTAATACAAAATACTCAAATCAATGTTATGTGCAATAATTTATTGGTGAGAGACTTAATTACTAAAAAGATAATTTAAATAGTCAGGCAATGAAACCCTAAAATCTCATAGATACCTAAAAGCAATTTCAATAAGATTATAATATTTTCCTCGCGACTTGAAAAAAAATAGTTGTACTTTGAGTGTCTTTGAGAGAAAAAAAAAAGACGAGGAATATATTAAAGTCTTCAATAGGAATCGAGCATAAGATCCTATTATTGACTATGAGAGCATATATGGCATTGGATTTTTGATCAAGAAAAAAGATATAAATATTATCCCTATTCTTTATACAAATTCGACGAAAAATATTGTTTAGAGTGACAAATCAATTCCAATATTTGATGTAGACAAAGAAAAAGGCAAGGTATTAGTTTTGCACGTTCTTTATTATGATAGGTTAGCCAATAAATATTATGTTTTATAATATTTACTAATTGGTAAATAAAGAGGCGTCCACAAATAAAGTTGAGATGAAATGAGTTAATTTGACTTTTTTTTTTTACAAGAAAAAGTAAAAAGTTATATCGGAGTTAATGATCTACAAAATTCTTCTGATTAATGTTGAATTATTTTAAAATTTGATATTTTATTTATTAATTATAATCACACTAATAATCAACAAGGCGTTCATATGACACTTGATATTTTAAAGTTTGATATAAATTTATTAATTATAATTGTATTTGTCATTTATGTAAATATATTTTTTATTAAACAAATTTAAAAAATTTGTCATTGATATTGTGTATTTTTATGAGTTTATATGTATTTTTTATATTAGTTATGATTTTGAATGAATTATACTTATACAATATAACAATATATTTTTATTTACTATCTAATAAACTAAATGAATAGGTTAAATCATGATATATCAATTCGACTTTCAAAAATTTTATACATTGAAAGTTTGTCAAAAGAAAAAAAAATAATAGAGGATGAATTTTTTAGATATAATCTTTTTTAAAAGAAGATAGATAAGATGAATTTTTAATTTTTTACCTACAAGTAAATGATCAAAATTTTCAATAAAAGTTATTTTAAAATAAAAAATTAAATTTAGAATATTATAAATTCTTGATAAAAAGTAGTAGAAGCATTTCCAAATTTGAATTTATTTCTAATTAGAAAATATACTTTTATTTCAAAAGAGGTGACGCAAGATTCTTTTCTTTGTGATGCAATGCCACGTAGTTGGCCACCAATCTATAATATGGTTCATCCATGGTGCCACGTAGCAAACAAATAGTGAACCGAACCGGACCGGACCGAAGAGTTGCAACATCGTAAGACGCAAACACAGATCCAAAGTAGCGTAAGCGCCAATCTCATCTCCCGAATCCAACGTCCACGATTCCCCTTCATCCACCACTTTCAATCTCATCCGTCCATTCCATTACTTGTTTAATTTATTCACCCCTTTTCGTCTCTAATACACTAGAGTTCTCTTTTGCGTTGTTTTGTCGTTGAATTCTAAGTTGAAGGCCGTTTACTCTCTCTCTCTGCATTTTCGTTTTCATCTTCCTCTCCCAATCTCCGCCAATTGAATCTCAAAACCTCAGAACCACAGTTCTTTGAATCCACATTGAGACCCACATTATCAACCACTATTCAAACAATGGTAATTATTTATTAATTCATTCATTTTCTTTGTGCTATAGTTTCTCAGATTTAATTTTAGATTTTATAATGTCTATTCATTCTGATTTGATTTTATAAAACAGGACACAGTGTTGGTGCCGCCATGGCTTGAGCCATTGCTGAAAACACCGTTTTTCAACATGTGTCGGATTCACGCCGATGCAGCTCGAAATGAATGCAACATGTATTGTTTAGACTGCAACAATGGCGACGGCGCCTTCTGCTTTTATTGTCGTTCTTCGAGACACAAAGATCATCCAGTCATCCAGGTAAAAGCTACTGAGAATTAATCAAAAATGGGTATGTATCATTTGAATATATGAACCCAGAAATGGGTATGTACTTCTTCCATCGTATTTAGGCCTACATTACATTTTGTTTTATTGAATTATTTTTGGTTTAATTTGTGTTGTTGTGATTTTGATAAATATTTTAATTTGCTTTGATGAATAATTAGATAAGAAGATCATCTTATCACGATGTAGTGAGGGTGTCAGAGATTCAGAAGGTGTTGGACATAAGTGGAGTACAAACATATGTGATAAACAGTGCCAGAGTTTTGTTCTTGAATGTGAGGCCTCAACCAAAATCTGGTAAAGGAGTAGCTCACATTTGTGAGATTTGTGGAAGGAGTCTCTTGGATTCATTTAGGTTCTGTTCTTTGGGATGTAAGGTCAGATTTTTATTATTATTATTATAAATTAATTATTATTAATATTGTCCAATGTCCATATCATTATCAACATGCACATCATTCACAACTCAATCATATGGGTATAACACCCACCACCCATACACCATTACCTACATTTGAAAGCCAATCTCCATCATTCAACATCATAATTATATTCCCACCGCTTTTAATTATTCATCATACCTTCATTACTAGTTTATTTAGCATTCACATTTTTATTAATTACTCTGATTTATCTTAATAGATGAAATCATGAGTTCACATAAGGTTAATGGATATGCACACCTACTACATTGTCAATCACTAGTTTTTTTCTGCCTAATCCTCCATAATTAGGACATTAAGTTCCCTAGTTGACACTTTAATTAAGGTATTCCTTCAAACTTAGGTCTTTGGATTTGGACTTGCTATGAGATTCAGTTTTGAAGCAATCATTTTTGCACTAAATTTATTATCATTTTTTGGTTCATTATTATTCAATTATCGAATGATATTTTACATTATCTTCCAATCAAGCCTCATTGTTTCTGATCTAATTATTAATATTAATTAAATTATTTTGAAAGTAACATAATAATTTGGATAATATGTATGTAATATTTGATTGGATGAAAGTATAAATTTTTTAAATTATTATTGAGATTAATTTCTTTGCATTGACACCATAAAATTGTCTTATGTCATGCAATTTTTATAAAATATTGTAAAGTATTTTAAAATTGGTGTGATTTTATTTAGTGTGATTTGATTAGACCCATGTTTTAAAATGATCTATACAAATTAAATTATTTGGTGTAATTATTTTTACAATGTCAATTAATTATGATTATTTGTATAATTTTAAACCATTTAACTTATAATTATTTGTAAAGTCACACGTGATATACATTTGTAGTGCATTGATGGCGAACATGGCATGTCATATAAAAATAATTGTATCATACACTTTATTAATCAAAAACTGTTCTTTCATAATTGAATTAGCTTGAAAGAATAAAGAAAAATGGAGATGCAAGCTTTGCTATGGAGGGGGGTAAGAATGAAGCAATGAGAATGGAGGGGGTGTCAAGTAGTAGATCAGAAGAAGAATTGCGTGAAGGGTCAACACAAGATATGTATCCTGTCACACCTCCTCCACCTCCTTTAAATGCAAGAAGAAGAAAAGGTATTCCTCATAGGGCACCTTTTGGTTCTTCATTCTAATGGATTCAAATTGGTACATATTCAAATTTCAATACAATACAAACCCTATTTGGTGGGAAAAAAACCTAGTTATTATTATTATATAATAATAATTCTTTTTACAATAAAGTTGAAAAAAAGAATAGGAGCCTTTGAGAAAGAATGATTATTAATTGGAAAAGAAAAGGAAAAGGGTATATAAGAAAGCTCCTTCTTTTCCGGTTTGGGTCCATAAAAAAACAAATTGAAGAACCAATAATGCATATTTGTTTAATTATTATTTTAATATAGTTGGGGGTGTATATTTTATTATTAAGAAATTTAAAAGTATGTCTTTGTGGAGTCAGTTTTTTGATTGCCCCACCATTCACATGGGTCGTTTACATAAAGATAACCAAACCCTTTTTATATTATTATTTATTTTATTATTTAATATTTTATTTTTATTTTTATTATAATACGTGTGCATGTAAAGTAACAATGGGTACAAATCAACTTTATATTTATCAGATTTAACATTACCCATTTTGGAGGTATCAATGGATTCACAACACTTTCTCTATGTTTGCTCTTTATGGTTCTTCTTCCCTCTATGTATTTTACTTGATAAATAATGTTAAAATAAATAAATTTTGTTGAAAAATAAAATAAATGATAAGGCATAACAATGATGATGAGTAGAGTTTGACCAAAATATTATAAGAATAGTTTGTTTAAAAAAATCCATACCTTATGGATATACAAGTGTTTCTATACATTATTCACAGTTCCGGAAAACAATTAATAAATTATAAACAAATTACGCGTATTTATATTTGTTTTAATAAATAATTATTTATGTTTATGTTTAAATATATATATATTTTTTTAATCCTCACTTGACATTGACATGAATTCAATTGTCATCCTTTTAAACATCTAAAAGAGAGAGTTTCATTGTGAATGGTAAGAGTTAAAAGTTTCATTTTAGTTGAATATGGCAAAATTAATTATATATCATAGAATCAATTCTATTTTCTTCACACACACAAAAAGTGAACAAAAGATATAGTGAAAACTAAACCGATGCATGAGGAATCTACCTTTAACCTTAATTGAAGAAATATAATGAATAATTAAGTGATTGAATACAAAAGAAGAATCTGCATCACATGGCTTTGGTTAGAGAACCATGGCATATATATATGTATAAAATAAGAGTAGAGGTTGCTTTCCAGCATATGCGATACTTTTTTCTTTTTATAAGCAACAAAACAACGAGTTAACTTACTAAGGTTTTTTGTCGTGCAAATCCGGTCCCATTTACATTTCCATACCTAATCAAAGACACATTCTTTTCAAATTCTTTTCAAAAGGTTACATTCAGAGTTAGTTTTATGATGCATAGGTGAAGTGGATGTACCATGTACAAGGTTACTTTTTCAACATTGGATTGCTAAATTTCACCATTAGGTCAAGTGATATAATATGAGATTCAATGGTAGAAAAAAGATTTCTCTCTTTCTTTTAGTACTAAAGAGGCTATTAAGTTTATTACTTCTACACAATGTTCATGTCAAGAAGGGTCGGTTTCAAATAATTGCAAGGCTTTGTTGCAATTTTAAAAATTGGAGGAATTTCTTCTAACTTATATATTATTAGTGTATCATGTGAAAAATGTTAAAAATTTTCTTAGATTTTGGAGACGCATCTCCGGCTGCACCCACATATAATCTAGACCAATTATGAGTAACATTTTAGGAGTTGAATTTTTTAAATTCGGAGATGCATTTCTAAAATTTATCTATAGATAGATCTCTGTAATATGTGCAACAGAAGCAGAAAATCAGAAGCTTGTATTTGATAAAACAAAGTTACCATTCAAAACATAAAATCAACATTACATATGTGATTTCAACATAAAATCAAATATTACATTTCAATATTCAGGTGGACGTTTCAACATCTTCGATCAATCTTGAAATCGTCGCTTCCAACTCGAGTAAAATTTTTGTTTTGAAACGAAAAAAATGTATTCCACATAGCCATTACATCTGCATTTGTCTTGAGCCCATAATTGTTGAACTCAATCTTGCATTCGTTGTTAATTAATGGTGAACGGTACTCGATAGTCACAATTTTTCGATCATCTCCGTAAGGTAGAAGATTAAGCATTGAAGCCACCCAATATTTTCGTTTGAAAGCCACCTAATACTTTTGATTGAAAGTCATCCAATACACTTAATACAATCATTTGGATTTTGAGGTGAGGCGGTGTGTAGTGGAAAAAAGCTTTTTGAAAGACTGAATGTTGTAAGATCATAACACACTCTATCATACACACATGTTATGAGATGACACATTTTAACCCAATGCATTCATTTTTTCCCGGTGCTGGTCCACTATGTTAGAACACAAATTGGTTCTTAATAATATCTCTATGTTTTGATGATAACTCTTATAAAATTTTGTATTAAAGAATTATATACTCTAAAATTTGTTTGAGAATGTTTGCTGCAGATGTTAAAGTGAATATTACTCTGGAAGCTAATTAGATTTGAACATAAAAAATATGCAAGGCTCTGAAGCGTCAGAAGCATCTCTTAGAAAATTCTGAACGCTGTCTCCAGAAGATTCTGAGCGCTGCCTCCAGAAGATTCTGAAGCAGAAGCTACAGAAGAATCTGAAGCAGAAGCCAGAAGCATCTGAAGCAATGATGAATTTTGTATGAAGAGTTTCTAGCACAGTTACTTCAGAAGACTCTAATAGTACTAACGCTGCTAGTACTGAGGATCTGATCCAAAATTCTGCTCTGAACATTTACACGCTGAAAGCACACTTGCTGCAAAGACTCTGATTCAGCAAACTCTGATGAACATCAGAAGGCTCTGACCAATCTAGACTCTGATGATTCTTGCTGAAAATTGTTGAAGAAGAATTCAAAGTTATGTCCGTTGGAATAACCAAACGACTCTTTCCTTATTTATGCTAGACACAAGAACACAGACAAAAATGATTTTTCTGTGCATTCTTCTTCTAGGAAAGGTTACATAATGTGAAGACAAAAAGGCTTAGACCTTTTTGGTACACTGTTCTTAACGTGAAAGACTTCATGGACTTCTGTGCCTATAAAAGCAAGACTCCATTCATCTTCTTCAGTTGACGAAATACTTAAAATAATTCATTACAAGCTCTCATACAACATACTCACTTGCTGAATTTATTTCATTGTTCTTAATCTTAAGTGAAAAATCACAGTTGTGATAAAGCTTTATTAGAAGCATTTTTAACACTTGTATTATTATTACATTTGATTGTAAGAGAACCTTAAGAAGATCCAGTTAGGATCAGTAGTTCTTGAGAAGACTTTGAACAGTTGTTCTTAGTGCTTACTATTGTAATCAGTTGATTAAATAGTGGATTAAGTCCTTGTTTGAGAAAGGCAAATCACTCTTGATAGGGTGAACTGGAGTAGTTGAGTTCAACGAACCAGGATAAAAATCCTTGAGTTTTTATTTCTAAGTTTTATCTTCATACTTATTCAACCCCTCTTTCTAAGTATTTTCTCACCTTCAGTTGGCATCAGAGCTCCGGTTCTGTGTTTACTACCACTTCACAGTGACAGAAAAGATCTAGTGAGAAAAATACTTTGTTATTATGGCTGATGCTTCAACATCCAACATATATGAAGAAAGAGACAGAATCAGTACAAAACCCTCTATGTTTGATGGGGAAAAATTTGATTATTGGAAAGATAGGATTGAAAGTTTTTTCCTTGGTTATGATGCTGATTTGTGGGACTTGGTCATAGATGGGTATGTTCATCCCACTGATGGGAATGGCAAGAAAGTAGACAGAAAATCTATGACAGAAGCCCAAAAGAAGGAATTTAGAAATCACCACAAGGCTAGAACAATTTTGTTAAATGAAATATCTCACACTGAGTATGAAAAGATCACAAATAGAGAAACTGCATTTGACATGTTTGAGTCTTTGAAAATGACTCATGAAGGAAACCTTCAAGTAAAAGAGACCAAGGCTCTGACGTTAATACAGAAGTATGAAGCATTCAAGATGGAAGAATCTGAGTCCATAGAAACTATGTTCTCTAGATTCCAGATTCTTACAGCTGGTCTAAAAGTTCTGGACAAAGGCTACTCAACTGCTGATCATGTGAAGAAGATCATCAGAAGCTTGCCTATCAGATGGAGACCTATGGTCACTGCTCTGAAGCTTGCCAAGGATCTGAACAAGATCACTCTGGAGGAGCTAATCAGCTCACTAAGGAGTCATGAAATTGAACTTGAGGAAGATGAGCCTCAAAAGAAAGGTAAGTCTATTGTCTTAAAATCTAAAAAATCTGTAAAAGCATTGCAGGTGTTAGAGGAAATCTCTGAAGAATCTTCTTCTGAAGAAGAAGATGAACTATCCTTGTTGTCCAGAAGAATTAACAGACTCTGGAAGCACAAGCAAAGGAAGTTCAAGAACTTCAAAAGACCAGATCAGCGCAAGGAGTCCTCTGGACCAAAAAGATCTGGAAAGAAGGAAGTTGTCTGCTTTGAATGCAAAGAACCTGACCATTACAAGAGTGAATGTCCAAAGCTTCTTAAAGAAAATCCAAAGAGAAAGTTTGACAAAAAGAAGAGGGTTCTAATGGCAACTTGGGATGACTCTGATGACTCTGGATCCTCATCAGAATCTGAAGATGAATGCGCCAACATGGCTCTGATGGCAGGCATTGAAGATCAGAATGAAGAATCATCTGAATTTGAGTTTGATTCTGAATCTGACTCAGAAGAGGTACTTTCTGATCTCACTAGGGAAGAGCTTATTAAAGTCTTATCTGAAGTCCTGAAAAATTATAATCAGATTAAGCTCAAATGCAATAAGCTTAAGTGCAATCTTGGCTCTGAGAATAATCTGTTAAAATCAGAAATTGCTGAGCTAAAAGAAAACAATTTAAAAATGAAAGCTGATTTTGAAATAGCTCAACAAAATTCTGAATCTGAAAGTAAGTCTAAATGCAAAAATATTTTAGAAGA